TTTTCCAATCATAAACCTTCGTCTTTTATGATTTTTTTCCTTCAAACATGCATAACAAACTATAACATTTCCTTTCAACCGTATGTGAAGAACTATAAAACTTACTCTCATCTATACTTGACTAACTATAAAATACGTTTACAACACTTTCAATATGGCCCTAAATAACACACAAGAGGTTGATTGGCCTCTAAACAGAATCAATAAATCAAATAAATGTCTAAACAGAGAGTGGGAGAGGTTGACGCCATAAAAACAGCTACTGACGAATAAGTGACGACTAAAGTGTGACGCACCTACTAAGTCTGGATGAAAGAAACTCTCCAACTGCTACTGTCAATAAGACCATCAATCTCTACTCCTTTGACAAATATTTTCACTACTGCTTTCCTTAGGGGACCGGAACACTCGTCAAAATCTTCACAGCCAGTGTTGCGTGATTGTTTTGTGCCAGTTGCTGTCGATAATTTAGCATGGCACACTCTAGCAAAGTGTCTCTTCTTCCGACATCGATGTGGTACACTCCGGCCTTCTTCAGGTGGTTGGGGTAGTCTATTTTAGTTCCATGTTAGTTATCATTTAACTCCTGTTAATTCCCCTCTAAAAATTCTCCACTGCCTTAACCGGGTCTTGAACTCACTCTTTGGGTCCTGTCACTGGATTTAACTAACGCCTTTATCCACTGTCCCATGTGTCCTTGAGGCGTTAGTTAGATCCAGTGACAGGACCCAAAGAGTGTGAGTTCAATACCCGGTTAAGGCAGTGGAGAACTTTCAGGGGGAAATTAACAGGAGATAACTGATAACTGACATCCATCAAACATGGCACGTGGAACTAGAACAGTCTACCCCAGTGAGCGAAATAAAGGGTTCGGTTCGACATTCCAACCACCTGAAGAAGGCCCGAGCGTACAACGTCCGAAACGTTGTGATAGATATGGCGAAAAAGATGAGGACAATAGTCCGAATAATGGAAATAATGTACATAATATTTCATCTTAGAAATATAGACAGGCTCCACGGTTACTGCCTGCAATTTACTGTCTTTACTTAATATATTTAAGCGCCGAAAATATTCGTCCAGAGTCTCGCCAACCTCCTAACGTTGAATTGCAAGACAGTGTCGAGTAAAAAGCTTGTTCGTAAGTTTAATGTACTTGCGATTTCAATAAACCACCAGCGTCCTTGTAAGTAATACATTCTTATAGGTTCGGGGTGTAACGAGGTTGACAAAAAACCCTAGCTTGTCCAGATCCTCATGAAGAAGAGCCGCTAAAAATATCTCGAACGTGTGAAACCAATGTTCCCATTCTGTTGCAGGCGTTCTGGTGCAGGCGTCCTGGTTCAGGCGTTCTGGTGAAAGGCTCCGAATCGGGTCTCTTAGGTTTCCTTAAATGTTCCATTTTTTAAAAATCTTTTGTTTGAATAAATTGAAGTGAAAACTAAAGAGAAGCCTGTAGTTAAGGAAATATTCAACACAAAACTGCTTTTTAATAATGTGAAGACGTCATTCTATTCTGCGGTGATAGCAGGTAAAAGGTATGTCACAATGTCGCAAGAGATAGACATTGAAAGAAGGATCAACACCCGTAGATTAAAAGATGGCAAGAAATGGCATGTTAATTTTAACGCCTGTAAAACAAAAACTGCCGTTTTCAATCGTCTGACAGAATCTTTTTGGCTTCGCATCAGCATGGCTGATGTTAACACGCTAGAATCATTGCGTTTTCTCAGTTTAACATTTTCCGCTGACATGAAGTGTAATATTTATATTGAACCAACTGCTAAGTTATAGTGAAGAAACTTTCCTATCAGCAGTGATAGGAAAGTTTCTTCATTATAACTTGCTTGGCAATCATACACAATACCATTCATTCAAGCATTGAATATTACTTTCGCTTATGGCCTGGTGCTTCTGCTATAGATTTAGAGGTTCTTGATAAAATACAATGAAGAATATGCAATGTTATTGGTCCTGAACTAGCATCTCGGATTCATTTACTTTCCCACCGCTGTGACGTTCTTGCCTGTCAATTTCCTCGAATATTTTCATGTATACATTCCTCTTTGGTCCTTAGAAATTATGTGTAGTACAAGAATGGCAGCTATGTTTCATCATTTTACAGTCATACCTGCTAGATTTAACCGCATGTAGGATGCTAACAGTTTCTTCTCTCGAACTTCTCGAAGAATTCCCGATTTTGATCTGCAAAATTTTAAATACAATTCCAATCGTTAATTTGCCTTTTTAATTCATATATATATTTTTTAAGCATTACGCCCCAAGCAAGGCGTGAAGCCACTAGGATGCAGGGGGTTGCGGAAGATTTGGAGCGAGAGCAGATAGGAGTGATAGGAAAAAGGATGAAGAGAAGGATAGTGGGTAGATCAATGTAACTGGAGATGTCGATTGACATGACATTTGAATAGTTGGAGATTATAGCTTTCAGGGAAACAGTAATTGGGGAGGGTGTTCCACTGGCGAGAGGTGTGAGGTATGAAGCTATTGGAGTAGAAGAGACGGCTACATTTAAAAATTTCTACAATGTAAGGGTGGGAGCGCGATGCCAGCCTCGTAGGGCGCTTGAATTCATGGAGTCTGGGAACCAGTGAAAGCAGCTCATCAGAGCAGTTACCATGGAAGTATTTGTAGAAAAGATAGAGAGAGAGAGAGAGAGAGGAGGCGACGGCGCGTCTGTGAGAGAGCGACTGCAGACGAGACGCTAGATCAGGACCAATTAGATTACATATCCGTCTCTGGATCTTGTCAAGAACTCCGAGGTAAGCAGAAGGTGCTCCAGTCCATATATGGCAGCAATACTCCATGCAAGGGCGAATGGTTGATTTGTATATTTGAAGTATCGATTCAGGGGAGAAAATTTTCCTGGCGCGGCACAGAGAGCCAACTTTCTTCGCGGTGGAAGAAGCAATTAACTCAATGTATTTGTTCCATCTCAGGTCAGCAGTCAGCGTGAGACCGAGCAGACGCAGGGATTTGATCTCAGGAAGTTGACTATCAGACATTTTAATGGGAGGCAGGGAAGGATCTCTATGGTGGTTAATGGAGAGTAATTTAGTTTTTGTGGCGTTAAAGTTGACCAGCCAATTCTTGCCCCAGTTAACAACCGATTGGAGGTCCATTTCAAGACGCACGGCCAGGTTAGTTTTGTCTCCGACACTAGATTTTTTTTCTTTGTTATCTCTTCTTAACATTTTTTTTTCTTTTCTTTATATTCCCTCATACTAAATAAACTGTATGCGTCTTACTGCCATTTTAGAATGAAATGATTTAAAAATGTTTGGTTTGAAATTCCCTGTAGAATAAATGAATCGAAAGACATCTGAAATAATAATAACAAAGATGAGGACATTAGTCTGTCTTTAAATAATGCATAAAATAGATTTTCTGTCTACAAAACCATTTGATTGTTCTCTTACTTCCGAAGAAATGTCTTATCTTTTCTTAGAATGTGCACAGTCAAATAAGTGCTTTACTATTATGATTAAGAAAACTGTGGGATTGAAAGCCGTTTGCCATTTATCATCCAAGCAATTTTTGAATTCAGATTAGAAAACGTAAAATAGAAGAACGACTTGGAGTAAAATTTAAACACAGTTTTTTGGTCTCCACAATCTTTTCTTTTTAACTGTCAAGAAGCTCTTGTTATATGACCTTTGGGGATGCACAGTTGATGTTGTAAAATAAGCATTAAGAGCAAAGAAAAAAGTGCACATAAATGCGAAGGACAAAAAGTAACACTTTTATATAAGCTGAGCCCTTCTGAATAGATAACTAACATTGGCATCTAGAAAAAGACATTAACTACTTTAAAACCAAACGAGTTCTAGATTCCGTGTCGTTACTCCATCCTAACGCTCCTGCATAGACGGTTTCATTTTCTTACTCGTTTCAATAGAAAGAGACAGACGTGAGAGGATCGATTCTGGGAGGCAGCGAAAGTAAAAAACATCGTGCGAATCCATGCCGCTCGTTGGCTTAGCGTTCTCCCGCATGTGGTCTTAGCTTATTCCTCGCAACAGCGTGTGGGAAGCGCGTATCGACTACTCAAAATTCCGGTGGCCATCTGTTGATTTCGCGCTGTCTTGAATTCATATCCAAAATATAGGCATCCATCACTCTTAGAATAAACCACCCACAAGGTATTCTGACCAGTGCTTGGCCATCCTGGCCCAGCTTCCAAATCCAGCATCATCAGCTTTCTAGATATTATATATAAAACATAATATCTTGCATGACCTTAAAAAATAACAGTGCAAACCAAACATTTTCTTGTTTACAGTGCAGGTAATATTTTCCGGGTTCTGAATAGGCATATATTTCATATAATCTGCCTGAGGGATCAGCAATGAATCGATTGCATAGAGAACGGAAATTACAGCCAAATAAAAATGATATAATCTTGTAGAATTCCATATTTTATATAAAACCGATGATGCAATGAAAAGAAAAACAGTTAGCGATGAACTGAATGCAATAATTCATCAGACGTTTCTGTATCCAACGTTTGAAGACTGTAGGGAAAGTGTCTCTCCAGAGATAGATAGATAGATAGATAGATAGATAGATAGATAGATATGAACAGAATAGGATAGATAACAGACCAGGATATATATACATACATATACACGCACACATACGGACACACACACACATGCACAAACACACACACTTATATATATGTATATATGTATATATAGAGATATAGATAGATACATTTGAATAGACTAGGATGTATATATATATATATATATATATATATATATAGATAGATAGATAGATAGATAGATATGAACAGAATAGGATATATAGGAACAGACGAGGATATATATACATACATATACACTCACCCCCCATATATATATGTTTATATAGATAAATATATTTGTACAGACTAGGTATATATATATATATATATATATATATATATATATATATATAGATAGATAGAATAGATAGATAGATAGTAGGAAGGACAAAAACTAGGACAGATAGATGAATAAACACAGACACACATAGATAGATAGATAGATAGATAGATAGATAGATACGAACAGGCTGAGATAGATACATTACAGTTCAAAAGGCCGTTGATAGACTCTACCACTTATTTGAGTGGAATTTAAAAAAAATGAATGTGCAAAAAATAAATAATTAAATAAAATAAAATAAAAACGAAAACGCTGCTTACTCAGCGAATGAAAAGAATTAAAATTATACCATTTTTGTTGTTAGGCTCAATCAATTATGTCTGTAGATCTTCAGAAAAGAAAAATAAGAAACAGGAAAAAAACGTATACTTTTGAATACTGGGAATTATTAGTTGAAATATTAGCTAAATATTCCTCCATATTTTAAGTCCATACTAAACGTAAAACTTAAATAAAGTCAGAATGCCCAACAAGGCATCTCAGTTATGAGTTGAACTATCGTCATTGTGAATAACTTCAGAATTTGTCTTTGGCTTAATCGATATAAACATCTGCAGAAGAGCGACTGGAATCTTATTCCAAATAGTAAAGATAGCTTCATGAACACCATGCACTTTTTCAATTGAATTCCTTTTCAACAGACTTGCCATGCATCTCCATTTTCTATTTCGAGCAAACACCCTGGCTCTTCTTTCCAACATGCCAAATTAACCAGCTACAGTATCTGTCTATATTTCTGAGATGACGTATTATGTACACTATTTACACTATTCGGACTATTGTCCTCATCTTTGTCGCCATATTTATTACAAAGTTTCGGCCGTGGTACACTCCGGCCTTCTTCAGGTGGTTGGGGTAGACTATTCTAGTTCCATGTTAGTTATCATTTAACTCCTGTTAATTCCCCTCTGAAAATTCTCCACTGCCTTAACCGGGTATTGAACTCACTCTTTGGGTTCTGTCACTGGATTTAACTAACGCCTTTGTGACGTCGTCCCCCGGTCGCAGCGTCGACTGTGTCGTTCGATCCCGTTCGCGGCGCCAATTGTGACGTCACGTGCTCCCCAGGCTCTGATATCCTGGTCACGGACAGCACCAGTTGTGACGTCTTTTGTCGCGGCTTCATCTGTTCGCTCCTCGCTGCTCCAAACGTGACGTTCTAACCCTTTGGTTAGATTGATACCAGCCTCGTCGTTCTCAACCCGCTTCCAACGCCTGGTTACCAGGGTAACTGCACTGATCTCCGGTCTGCCTACCCACGTTGTGACTTGATCTTAGACAGACGAGATCAAACAGGGCTTGGGGCCGTAATGCAAGTTGAGTCTAACGGGGTGATAACACACAATTATGTATAAAAAAAAGAAATAAAATAAAAACTCACAAGGTCCAACATATCAAAGAAAAAAAGGTAACAAACTTTTTATGTCTATTTGCTCGGTACATAGGACTATGTCTACTTCCCGACCCGTTCTGTGGATTGTGGCACGACGCTTTTACTAGGCAACTTTAAGGCTTCCAGTTGTCTGCTCTCTAAGAAATTTGTGTTTCGGCGTGTCCTTGGACGAAAGTCGAAAAAAACTTATTTCTGTGGTCTGATTCTAAGTCGCTCTTCAAACTACTTGTTCTTGGTTGAAGAAGAGTCCAGAAGTGTGCGTGAATCTTGGTCAGCTATCTTGACGCGGTTTCAACACTGGGCGCTAATTTCTGCTTGTCGTTCACGGCTCAAACTCCAACTCAAACTCTCTCGCCGTCCGCTCTCAAACTCCCTCGCCGTCCGCGGCGCAAACTGAAAACTGTCGGTTGGGGTCCCGCTTTTATTGACGCAGTCAAAACTGGGGTGGGTCTGTCGGCGCCAGGGTTTTTTTCGATAATTCTAAATACGTATCCACCCTTCTTATTTCTGGTTAGGGATTTTCCATTTTCGGTAACTCGCTTTCACTCCCACTTCCTTACTGTGTCTCTGAGGGGCGTATACCCGCTTCCCCGCTTCTTCGTATGTCATGTGACCGCTTTCGGCCAATGAGGTCCTGGTCGGGTATCTTTCCTCCTCCTTCGTGTGTCATGTGATCTTATTTAGCCAATGACGTCCTGGTCGGGTATCTTTCTCCTCCTTCGTGTGTCATGTGATCTTATTTAGCCAATGACGTCTTTAGTCGGATGTGGACAATCCGTGGCTTTGTTCTGGGGGAAGAAACACCTTGCTTAAAAAAAAACAAAAATTTAAATTGCCCTTATCATGAGCGACTGCGATGACACCTTCGGCTTTTTAACACGTGGTATTTGTCAAGCAGTTTATCGTTTTTAGACCTGTTGGCGTTTTTCTGAACGAAATAAAAATATTTCATTCTCCCCCGGCCGAAGGGCCGATAATAAAAATCTTTATTATCTCAAAAAAAAATTTCAGCGACATCATCTTGTGTGGCTTTTTCCAATTCTAGAGATTGTCTGGGTTTTCGTATTAATGGTTTGCTTTCATATCCTTAGATACACTTCCCCACCCACTTAGACTTTTACTATCATCCCAATGACACACCGTCCACTTGTTACTTATCAATATTTTTTTTCATTGTCCCTAAACTTCGTTTCTTCAACCAATTGATAACAACTTCTATTTTCCCCAGATCTCGGTTAGATGCTTGACCTGGATATCTCGACACCTGTTATGTGTCAGTCGAGCGTGTGTGTGCTCGCTTATGACCTGTTTTCGTATTATTTATTTTTTTTCTTTTTCTTCTGTCTTTTCTCTTTCCTTCTTCCAGATCGCTTGAACGTAAAGAAAGAATTATTCCTAAAACCCGAAATATTTTTCAGCCCTAAATAATTATCAAATGGTTGACAAACCGTAAAAAACAAATCATATATTTATGAATATTTCTTTTCGGCTCGCTAGGTATGCATGGTGCCACAATTTATACACTGTCCCATGTGTCCTTGAGGCGTTAGTTAAATCCATTGACAGGACCCAAAGAGTGTGAGTTCAATACCTGGTTAAGGCAGTGGAAAATTTTCAGAGGGGAATTATCAGGAGATAACTGACATCTATTAAACATGGCACGTGGAACTAGAACAGACTACCCCATGGAGCGAAATAAAGGGTTCGGTTCGACATTCCAACCACCTGAAGAAGGCCGGAGCGTACAACGTCCGAAACGTTATAATAGATATGGCGACAAAGATGAGGACAATAGTCCGAATAATGTAAATAGTGACCAGATACAGTTTGACACCGCTATATAATCTGACGCTCCATTGTTCTTTGGATGGAGTTAGAACCCCAGATAGTGATGGAACCTTTTCCTCTGTACCGTGTGATAACGTTATCGTGACAGTAATGTTGGAAGCCATTCAGGTTTAAAATTTTCTCATCAGGGAACAAAACCTTCCTCCACTTTTCTATGTCCCATGTTTGGAGCTTCTCAGCAATGTTTAACCGAGCTGTTTTGTGATGTGGATAAGGCGTTTACGATTTTTAAAGCCTTTCTATCTGTCTCATTGTTTTTGACCCGCACTCTTTGTCCGTAAGCGCCTTGATCTAATTTGATGATCGGCTGGTGTCTTACCGGACAACCCGTCGAATCATCTTGCTCAACGCCAACGAAATTTTCTTTAGCCGACCACATGAAATTCTCGTTCCGTATTCTAAGGGGCTTTTAAGTCATTTTACAAAAGCAGAAGTTTTACTACGTCGAATCTCTTTAGTAATGGCTCGTCGAGATAGACCTTGCTTTTGCTGTTAGACAATCCTGCCACGTGCAAACTCTGTCAGCTTTTTAGCCTTAGCCATATTTTTTTTACGCAGGAGATAATAGTCGGAGATATTGGCTCCACTAGTATGAGTTTAAACGCACAGGCGACAATTTCTCACCACTATATATTTGAGTTGGCTAGATGTAACAGTAAGTTTTATGCTAACAGTTTATTTTCTCGCACTTATCGTTTGTGGAACTCTCTTCTGACTCCATGGTTTCCAGCACAATTTAATCTTCAGAAATCTAAATCTAATGCCAATCACTTTCACTGTTTAATTTTTTATATTTGAAGAAGCATTGAAACCAGTTGAATTGGTTAGACAATCATCTGAATGGTTTCATTGCACTCTCCAGACCATGGGAACATTAAAGCTGAAGGCTTCCTCTTTGTCATGAAACTATGCAGTTAGTCAATTGTAATAGGCTTTGCAACAGATGAAAGGCTATCAGGATTTGTGCTGATTTCCAATTTTCAGTCAAAATAATGAAAGTAAATGGTTGTCAAGCGTGCAGTATCTGTCTGGTGATGTGGAAATATCGTGAATTCTCTACTTGCGTAACAAAATGAATATACCTTATTGATGAAAACGAGGGTAGCTAGAGATATGTATTAGCTCACAAAGAAATAGAAAACAATATAGACATTGATCATATATATATATATATATATATATATATATATATATATATATATATATATATATATATAGTGCTGTTCGATAAAATTGACTCACCTGATTTTTTTTACTAAATGTTCTTTTCGATGAAACGAAAGTTGAGCTAAATTCAAATGATAAGCGATCTAAAATCCGAAGAAGAAGCTTTGAAAGCTCTTTGAATTTAGCAGTAAATACTGTCAAGCATCCGTTCAGTATAATGTTCTGGGGATGCTTTTCTTTTAATGGAATTGGTTTCATAAAACCCATTGAAAAGACCCTCAGGAGCGAGCAGTACAAGAGAATTTCAGAGTCTTGTCTGCTCCCTTCTGCTGAAAGGGTGCAAATCGACCCCACCAAGCTCATTTTTATGCAGGATAATGCTCCCTGTCACAAATCAAAATTGATGAAGTAATACTTTGATGAGAAGCAGGTGAGTGTTATGACATGGCCGCCCCAATCTCCTGACCTCAACCCCATAGAAAACTTATGGAGCATTATAAAATATAGGCTCTCAAGAAAGCAGTTGAGCAACAAAGAGGATTTGATTGTGAATTTCATATACGAATGGAATTCAATGCTTAAAGATGAGATTTGCCAGAACCTAATCAAGTCAATGACAAAATTGGTTGAAAAAAATTGGTTTGTAAAAAAAATATTGCTGGTAATAATTTTTCTTCAAAAAATTATTGCTGGTAATATTTTTTTACAAAGTATTTCTG